GAACTTTATTGAATACACATGGATTGAAGTGCCCAGTTCAGCGTTTAAGTTGGAACTGCCCAAACCTGCTTCCCAAAACATATTAAAACACTAACATATCAAAACCCCTCCCCTACAAATTGGCACTCAAAACTATATTTACAGCAACTATTTCTAGTGATCCTACTATCACCCATCTACCCCCACCCCAGTTTATATATCAAAGTTCTACCAGCCTACAAGCTCACTAAGCAAAACAGGGGAAAAACCCCATGCATACCATTCTCTAGCTAGCCCAGACAACCTGCCTTCCAAGACTTGGAGATGAAACCATGTCATCCCATCCTCCCTTCTAACCCACAGAGCTATCACATACCTATATTTCAGCCTATAAGTCCCCCAGCATGAAAACAAACAAAACTATCATCTCCAATATTCTAAACAGCACATTCTATTTATGACAGAATCAGCAGGATTTGACAGTATCCTTCTAAGATCCAGGTTCTAGTTGAAAACAGTGCTGTTCATTGTTTGTCTGTTACAGAATGTATAAAAATATTTTACATATATAGGATAAAACACATTATGGCTTGGGTTATTAGTTTCATTTCTGTTTCCAGAAATACAGAAACATGGACAATCTGCATTAACATTTATTTTAAATGTCTATACATTTACATACACTGTAAACTTCAGTACATGTTCTGGTTAGATCTCATGCACTCCTACGGGTCCAATTTACTTACTGGAGAAAATCATTAGTATTCACAAGTTGAAGAACAGTCATTTGAACTGGCTTCAGGTCAGGAACACTAGCTTTCAGATTTGGAAAGCGAAATGTGAAGGGGAATACAATGTATGACTGGTGCCAGGCATATGTTGTGTTAAGAGATGCAGCAGGAAAGAGGTCAGAGGTTTTTAGGCAAATGGGGAAGGAAAGATATTTCATGTTAATAACATGAGGAAACTAGATAGCAGTTATCAGTGTCAAAATCTGTTCTTAACTGAAGAGGAAGACATAATTTGAACTTCTCAGAGATAATGTTGGAAGGAGGTATCCCACAAGAATGGGAACAAGCTTACCTATCAGTAACATTCATAGATTGAATTTCTGTTAATAGAAACATTTCCAAATACATGCTTTTGTCAGGAAGGATCTAATTAGCGGAACTTATAATTAGCTCAAATATGCAAGAGTGGGGTCCTAACAAAGTTCCATGAGACCAGGTACCTTTATGTATACCAGAGGACTAAGGAATCCCACAATGGATGACGCTGAGACAGGCTTCTCTAATTAAAGTCTAAATATTTATTAAAGGGGAAAACTGCACACACACAAATACAGTGTACACACACACTGCAATCTTAGGAATAAAGGAGTGGAAGTGGGAATAGCTTGAGATGGGCCAGACTGAGGGAGTTACTCACTTAAAGAGGTCACATGGGCTCCTCCGGGATCCGTTGTGGATATTGATGATGATGATGCACGGCTGCCAAAATAGGGGAGACGATGGCCGAGGGATTTTTGATCAGGGTACAGACCAACGCGGAGTCAGCATGCACTCTCAAGATAGCACATGGAGACTGAAAATCTGAAGGTTTAAATATGAAATTTCTACCTTCTGGCTATTGACTGAGTGGCTTGGCTGAAGCCTGGACAAAGGCGCTGATAGTCTTAGCTTTGTTAAACCTAGGTGTGAGGACAGTCTAGACCAGGGATAGGCAACCTTTCCCCTTTAAGGGCCGAGGGACTTCAGCTCCCAGAAGCCTCAGCCATGTTGGCCAATAGTCCCATGTTGACCAATAGCTCTTGGGATTCTGGGAGATGAAGTCCCTCGGCCCTTAAAGGGGAAAGGTTGCCTACCCCTGGTCTAGACAATGCATTTGGTTTCAAGACTATCAAGGAAGGGAGGCTAGAGAAAACAGTGCAGTCAAATCTGATCACTACCCCATTAAGTGTGAGTCTCAAGACAAATAAGTGTATTTTCCAGTACAGGGGTAGGCAACCTTTCCCCTTTAAGGGCCGAGGGACTTCAGTTCCCAGAAGCCTCAGCCATGTTGGCCAATAGTCCCATGTTGGCCAATAGCTCCTGGGATTCTGGGAGCTGAAGTCCCTCGGCCCTTAAAGGGGAAAGGTTGCCTACCCCTGTTCCAGTATAATGTTTTTTCCCTTTGGCAACTCCCAAACCTTCTGGTAGGGAATTTTCCAGCTGTCCTGGGCAGATCTCTCAGTGCCTACATGACTTGCCATCTAGGGGATTATGGCTGGCATCCCACAGAGGTTAATCTGGGGTCATAGAGGGAACTCCACATGTCCAAGATTTTATGAAAAATCACATATGCTAACACTTTGGAGGCAGTAACTCAACTGATAAAAATTCATGACCTCACAGCGAGACGGCAATAACTGTGTTTCACCTGACAGTGCCACTTCAAATGCAAATGAAAATGCCAGACATTCAGAATATCATAAACGCCTTTCGTCCATCAGCTGTACTGTGAATGCTGATAAAACTTTCATTACCCTATAGTGGAGTCTTATAAATCCTTCTCATAGGCATAGGATGATACCTAGATTGAACATATGAGATGTTACCTATGGAAAATGCCCTTCAAGTTTCTGGAAAAGTCTGTCGGTTCAAAGGATTGAACCTGAATAAGCCTGAGACAGGCTAAATGGAGCACATAATTCTATCATGTTATATTTGTATTATTTACCTGCCGATTTCTGAATTCGATTCTTGGTAGACATTCTTACATCTGAAACCTAAAAACTTGGACTGTACTCTCCCATATACATTGTATTTACCATCAAATGTTCAGGTTTGGGACCTTTGGTCTGAAGTGAGATGCATACGTGCAAGAAATAGGACCTTTTTAGTTTTGGTACTGGCTGTCTATAATACTCTGTTAAAGAGGTCCATGTTACCCTGCCAGTTAACATCTTCTGGTTCTTGAAGAAGACCTGGTTCTTGAAGGATGCCTTTTGGGCTGAAGCAATAATCTAGTCTAATTGCTAATTCAATTAGTGCAGAATTTCATGATGTCCTTTTTTGCTAGAATTTTGAGTATTTTCTGTGTTTTAGTAACTTCTGAGTTCTAGTGGGAAAATAGCTGATATCATATTTTAAAATAAACAAGTTTACAGTACTTGTACCTGCAGGACTGATATTGGTGGTTTTACTTAACGCTCATCTGAAAAAAAAATATGTTCTTTCTCGGCATTTTCTAGGTCCTCCAGTGTGGGAAGTTGACCATAAAGTCACACTGGAGGACTGAGAAATGTCTAGAAAAGCATTATTTCTAGGAATCTCTAGGTCCTTCAGTACAACTCTATGGTTAGCTTCTGCCAGAAGTCATTCATTTCAATAGCACTCTCTATTATTCGTGGTTTTGTGTTTCCAAAGTAAGTCTGTGAATATATCCCCCATGGATACAGAGGTTGTAGAAGCAGGCCTAAATTCAACATGATGCTGGTGCATGTGAATTAATTTCCTTCCCTTCCTATCCCTGCTCCAGCTCTCAGAGCTCACTGAAAACTAGCTCTTAAAGATTCTCTAGCTCTCTGGAAGAGGTTTCTTGAGGATGCTTGAGGACTTGCAGTGCTAAGGAAGGATTATGCCTCCCATCCACCTGCACTGAAGGCCTTTGCAGACTGCCAGAAATAGTGCACATTAAATTGAGGCACTGCCCTGGCTTAATGCTAGGGAGTCATGGGAATTGTATTTTTTTCTAAGACATTGAGCCTTCTCTGTCAGAGAGCTCTGGTGGCACAATAAATTACAGTTCCCATGATTCCCTAGCACTGAGCCAGGGCAGTGCCTCAATTTAATGTGCACTATTTCTGGCAGTCTGCAAAGGCCCTGAATTTAGACGTCACATCCCACAAGTAGACACCCTGCATGGGATATCAAGGCTTCCAACATTTCATAGATGTGGAATGTGGATGCTTGTCATGGCCTTCCTCTTGGCCTGAGATATTGTGACTTGCCCAAGATAACATACCCACCAACATTTCACAGATGAAATTAATAAGGAAGTACAAGGAGGCTCGGAGAGGAAGCAAAACTGTGCTTTTTGCCTTAGCCTGGTGGGAAGGGTGAAATTTTGCCCCTTCCTCTCCTCGCCCATACTGACTTAATTGAAGGCAAACTACTTTTTCACTTCACTCTATTTGCATCGTCTTCACCTGGGGCCGGTCCAAAGGCCACGGGGGAGGGGGGCATCCGGCCCCGGGCCTTAGGTTGCCTACCCCTGATATATGCACACACACATGAACACAGGAGTAACTTGGATAGGAAGCAGAAGGCTTTCTAAGGGTGATAGTTACCTGCAAGGAGGCTGCTGCAATGATAAATGAAGAGATAGACTCAACCATTATGATGGGGAAAGGACAAAGAAAAGAGTTGAGAACTCTAG